ATCTTATGGCAATATGGTCTTTCCTGCACTCTTCTCTGCTATGTACTCTGCTAAATATACCCACACTATGCCATGCCCGGTACTGACATCCACACGCTGTGCCCAGCCCACTGCTGACAACCCTCAACTCAAGTCCATCTGCCTTGTGTTCTCCAACCTTCTTTCCAAGACTGATATTGAAATGGAACAAGTCCTCTTACAAGGTATGCAGTCGTCGTAGCATTGAGATGGCCTTGGGAAGGTCGCCTGTGAACGAGTTGAATGGCAAACTCCTGCGGCAAGCAAACACCAAATCGTACAGCATCACATGCATTGGAATGCAGTCTTTGGCAGCAGGATCGCAGGCAGCAGATGGCATGAACGCTCTTGAGGTGCTTGGACCTGGTATACTGTTGTGTTTTCAAGAGGACGGTTGAATATTCAGCAAGGAGGCAGGATCACAGGCAGCCATCAAGCTAGCATCGCGGTCATGACTCATTCGATAACAATGCCCAATTTCCTTACAAGTACACCAAATTGGTAAGCTGTCCGATAGTTGATGGAACGGTGCCACTGAAACGATTCCTGGTAAGGTCCCTACAGACAGTCGAGGTTGGAAGACGAGGGTTTGACAGGAGGAGGGCTGTATAGTCAGATCAGATGACTGTGGTGCGCAGGGTGCTTTCAAGAGGGATTGTTGCATGGAGTGGTGGCCGGTGGATGGATGTGGCCTTACAATTTGGTCAGATGGACAAGATTACTGATTAGCGATGGTATGCTGTCTGAAACTCGAGCTCCATTCACCTCCCTGTGCAAAATGGGCAGCATGTCAGAATACCATCAGGAGCAGGCCAACGACAGTGTAGTTAATACGAGCGACGTTTCTGCACATTCAGGTAGCTTGTACAAATCACGTAGCTTCAAACCTTTTTTCTGCCATGTGGATGGTCACATGCAGCCGAGATGCGACTTGTTTCAATGCATCACACATCACAGATTGGTGGTGTAACGGCCATCTCTGCCAATCCCCTTACAGGCCAACGACATGATTTTCATCATTGCAAGTGATGTGCTTCATCTCGGCACATTTGCCTTCTCGCCTCCACGTGCCTTTCCCATCATACCCTCGCCATGCTTTCGTTAGCGCTTCCAGTGCTGCCCCTGTGTGTCGGGCAGAAAGGGAGCAAGCACGTGAACCAGATCAACATTACTTTTGAGGGGGCTAGAGAATCCGCAAGATACAAGCCGATCGGTATGACTTTACATCAGACGACAAGCAGCACCAGTCCCTTTCGAGAATAGCCTTACACTCTGAATTGGAGAGAATGGAGTTGCAGCTCCCCGAAGTGCTGCCTGTCTGAAAGTTCGACCCGCATGCACACGTGGCAGTGCCTGCGGCCTCCCCGCCCTCCCAGAAGCAGTAGCCGCGGCCAGTACAGGGCGGGGAGGAGGGAGGGGAGAGGCCGCAGAAGGCGGAGCATTGGAGGGGGGGGCGCTGGGCGTGGGGGAGGGCGCAGAGGACGGCCTCAGAGGGGAAGCAGTTGGCGTGCAGAGAGAGGGCGAGCGTCGAGGAGGATGAGGAGGAGGCGCACCTGGCGGTAGGCAGGGCGCCTGCGTACAGGTAGTTGCTGTTTAGATATCTGCCATGTGGGATAGACAGCAGGGGAATGCAGCATGGGAGAGAGAGAGAGAGTTCAAGCGTGCAAGAAAGCACGTACACTTGACTCAGATTGACCGGGAAAGGACCATTGCTGCTGCCAGAAATTCTCTAACTAACTCTTACAGCACGAGCAGCTCTTGCAAACTGCTGAGTCCGCTTGGCAGAATCCCTGATAACTGGTTGCGTGACAGGTCCCTTGCCCATAGAGAGGAGTCTTAACGTTATATGATTGCAGGCTCATACTTACTCATGCCAAACCAATGCTCCAAACAGCAGCACATTTTTGAAACTAAAACCAATGCAGTAGGAAACATTGGCAGGTCACTGCAAATTGGTGATTCCCAACCGTAGAGATTCATGCATCCATGATCCACCCAACTCTCGTTCGCAAACCAAAACCCACAAGACTTGAAGCAGTTCCAGATTGCTGATGACCCTAAACCCTAAACCCTAAACCCTTAACCCTAATGGCCCTGCTATGGCGTTGCCTGACAGATTGCTGCAACAAAGAGTTGCGAGCATGACCAGTGCGAGACGGGGAGGGAGATGGACGGAGAGATGGGACAGAAGAAGGGAGAAGGGAACAGAACGAGAAAGGGACATATGTTAAGCATACATACATAGGCGTCCACATGCATCATGCATACACGCATGCCGTACGTTTGCACGCAGCATTTACCTGCACACACGCATGCACGCACGCACGCACGCATGCACACACACATACACACACACCCACACACAAACACACACACACATACACACACACACACATACACACACACACATGCACACACACATACACACATACACACACACACACACACACACACACACATACATACACACACACACGCACACTTGCACATGTGCAACCTTAAAGGCTGCATTCATAAACATGCGCCTTCACAAAAGCTATTTGCATAAGTCCTAAGGATATGACCCTACAACTCCAGGATTGTGCTTTGGGAAGGCTAGGCGAGGATCTTCAAATTCTCACAGCGACGTGACATGCAGCAGGTCTTGGATGTTGATTGGAATGGACCCTGCTATCTCTTGCCCAAAAACATTCCTGTTGGTTGATAGAGGGGAGAGGAAATATCCACGGTGGGTGGAAGCACGAAGAAGCAATGTGTATGTAAGACTAGTTCTCAGGCGACTCATGTGAGGACGGCGGGGGGATAACAAAGGGAAAAGAGGGCAAAACCGATCATGTAGTATGTGCCCACAATGTGACTTCCCTCGTTACACGACTTAGAAGATATAATAACCATGCACATAGGCTGCTCGTTTGAACTTGAGGCGCCTAGCAAACACCTAAGGACTTCTAAGGGGCTCCAAAAGGCCGGTACTTCGAGGCGCGTAGCAACCATGTGAGTGTGTCTCACAGGGCCATTATGTGGTTGTCGGCGTCGCATGTGACATGATTCAGCCACTCACACGGGGTGCTCTGCTTCCACGTGCCTCCCCCATCAAAGCCACCCCAAGCCACTTTTAGAGCGCCCAGCACCAGCCCTGTGTTCAGAGAACAGTCCAAGAGTGATTATGAGAACGGGCGTGCAAGCTGGGAGACGTGCAATGCAAACACCATGTCTGGCCACACACATTTTTGTTATATGCATGAGCAGTAAAGCACACACGAATAGGGATTGGCATGGAGGAGGAAACATACAAAGACGGAGCAGATGTAAATGGGAATGAGATGGGAATACAGGGGCTTACACTCCGAAGAGGGCAATAGCGTGATGCACGTCCCAGGATCGGCTCCATTACCGTACCCCTCCCCGCATGCGCACGTGGCAGTGCCTGCAGCCTCCCCCCCCCCCCCAGAAGCAGTAGCCGCGGCCGGAACAGGGCGGGGAGGAGGGAGGGGAGAGGCCGCAGAAGGCGGAGCATTGGAGGGGGGGGCGCTGGGTGTGGGGGAGGGCGCAGGGGACGGCGGCAGAGGGGAAGCAGTTGGCGTGCAGAGAGAGTGTGACTCTGCAGGTTGTCTTAAACAGGGTTCCTGAGTAGAAGTAATTGTTGTTTAAGGACCTGCACCAAGTGAACGCAAGGCATGCGTAGGTAAACGAATGGATTATCAATGATAAAGATTGGAAGGAGTTAACTTGAATATTGAATCATTGGGGACATCGAAGGCTGACAGCATGAGAGATTTAAATGCATCCTCCTTCATGCATTGGAAGCAATTCGTGATTCATCCCAAGTTACGAGGCGCACTCACAGAATGTCGAGGTTCAAGAGAGTGCTGAGAGAGTCTGGCAATGAACCTATCAAGTAGTTTCCAGACAAATCCCTGCACAAGTCACTCGTCAAATGCATACATTCGAAAGGAAGAAAACAGTGGAAATACTAGTGCAGTGTGCATGCGAGAATCCAGGCAGGAACGAGAGGCATGCACTCACAGCACATGCAAGCAGGCAACAATGGATTTGACTTGCCAAAAAATCAACCTTTATCAGCCCAACTTACCCAATTTGCAACTAACTCCCCTTCTGGTCGTACTCGTCCTCCGAGGGCACCTCGTCCTCCGTCTCATCCGCCTCCTCCTTGGGGATTGGTGGCTCGTGTTTGGGTCAAACAATCTCGGGCTAAAATAAAAGGGCTTTCGGTTTGCCCCGAAAATAAAGGGCTTTCAAGTCGAACCAAACAGGTGTTTTGGATTGTGCTCATGCGTAAATTTGGAGGTCGTGATTTTGGCGCAAAATTGTGCAAGTTCAACTTTGAGCTGTTCAAGAATAAGAAGGATTCAGGCAGCTCCAAATCACGTGTCAAGCATCATGCCAACAACATAGTTTTTTTATCCTTGATGCTGACCTGCTTCAGCGTCAAATCCATCATGGCAAGCAGGGAGGGGCGTGCACTCACAGCACACGCAAAGTCTTGAGGCCACTGATGGCGTCTGGAATGAACCCCGGGATGCCTTTCCTGACACGTTGCTGCCATGGCATGGCAGCATGGGGAAAACCAGAACGAGTGAAGAGGGCAGATTGTTAATGAGAGCAGATAGGTGAACGGAATCAAATCAATGGCAACCTTTGGTTCGAGTTGAAAATACCAATTGCAGCAATAACAATGGTTGTTGGTTAGCTACGGTTGCTTGACACGAATGGCATGTGATGTCCTTCATGCGCTAGCACACTGATTCTCACAGCAGCTCAACGCGGCTCTCACAGAAGCTCGATGTGGTTGGTGGAATCGCATGCGCTCGCACGGCACGCCACTCTTCCATGTGCCGTTGCCATCAAAGCCTCCCCACGCGCCCATGAAAGATTCCATAACGACCCCTGCACATACATACACTCAAGGCAGCCGATGTTACTGTAAGGTCAACCCCACTGCCATAGAGTCCGGAAGACTCATGGCTGGAATTTCAAAACGATGGTCTGAGAAGCTGGGTTGCCAGTGCTGCCGCCATAGAAGTAGCTACTGCTCAATCTCAAGCATCGCCATCCATTCATCATGCATGCAATGCCTTACAGTCCATTTGTGGAAGCAGGGAGGCACACGTGCCGGGATCAACTCCATTGCCGTACCCCTTTCCGCATGCACACGTGGCAGTTCCTGCGCCCCCCCCCCCCCCCCCTCCCAGAAGCAGTAGCCGCGGCCGGCACTGGGCGGGGAGGAGGGAGGGGAGACGCCGCAGAAGGCGGAGCATTGGAAGGGGGGGCGCTGGGCGTGGGGGAGGGCGCAGGGGACAGCGGCAGAGGGGAAGCAGTTGGCGTGCAGAGAAAGGGCGAGTGCCGAGGAGGATGAGGATGCACACATGGCGGTGGGCAGCGCGCCTCCGTACAGGTAGTTGCTGCTCACAGCCCTGCCAAGGGTTGACAAGGGACATGCAGCCATGAGATGAGGCTGTTGTGGATGCTGTGAGCAGGGGGGGAAAGATACCAACGTCAAGAGCAGGGCAATGTAACAAAAACTTGGGTTTTGAGGCGTCTCGAATTGAAACAAGAGCAGGGTGATGCAACAAATAGTGCATAGCATCAAGCCTCAACCATTGCCAGTGGAGCTGATGTGAAAATATATATTGTAGCATGCTAACTTTGTGACTGTACACCAAGTGTAGTGTACTGTCGAGTTGGGACTGTACCCCATTGTGGGTGTATACTTCGTACTTGGGGTACCAATCCAACCCAATTGTGGTGGGGTGGTTTGTCCCACCACCTATGCCCCCCTCTTGTGGTTGGTTAATCCAACCGCATTTACGGACCAATGGGTGGATAGTCAACACCTCCCTCCTATGTATGCTTGTAACTCAATCATAATACTAGCTTTCCAATTTCTAACAGCTGAGACTTCCAAGCGCCTCATTCAGAGCTGCACATCGGTAGTGCATGAGAATAAATGATATATATATAAAAACCAAGATTACTGAGTGCACATCATGATTAGTGAGCTGCTGTTCTTGTTGATGGGAATGAAGTGTTGCCCCCCCCCTCGCTTCGGCAAAGCCGATGTTGTGGTCGTGTGCGCGGGAGGTGCGGCCGACCATCTGTAGAGTTCGACGCGTGCAGGTCGACGGAGTTGGTCGGCATGCAGAAGACTGCTGGAAGCTGCCGAGAACGGGAAGCCGGCGGCAAAGCTCTTCTGGTGTGGTCGACGAAGGGGTTCGTCGACCTGCCTTGTGTAAGGTCGACGAGGATGATCGTCGACTTGCGCGGGTCTGTCGAGGAGCCATCGAAGATAAGAACTCGATGGCAGCAGTATACCGAGTTGGTTGATCGAGGGGTCTGTCGACCAGGGCGGTCCTCGACGGGAGTGGTGGTGGTCGACGAGGGGGGTCGTCGACCAGGACGCCGGGTGGTCGACCCGGTCGACCCGGTCGACCAGGTAACCTGCTCGACGAAGTTCTGCGAAGGCACGCGAAGCGTCGTCGAGGTCGCGATCACGAAGGCGAGTTCGGGCTGGTATCTCGAAGTCGATGTGGCTCGTCAGGCGCAGAAAACAGCCGACAAATGCATGACGGTGCATGTCGGGCCAATCGTCTGCGCGCACCTGCGAACAAGTGCGTTGCTGTCATCTACGGGTGCAACCCTGGACGAGCGCTTTGCTGTTGCGTTGGCACGCCGTCGACCTGCTCTGTTAGCAGGCCGCCTTTCTGCAGCGCTGGCGCGGCTCCTCTACGCAACGCTGGCAGGCGGTCGACCATGCGGTGCTGGCGGTCGACCTGCCTGGATGCTAGGTTGCTAGGCTGGTGTACTCATTCTTGCCATTGCTTGTTTAATTATTATGTAATCCCAACTTTGCTAGTGAAACTCTTGCCAATTCTTCCTGAGAATGTGCAAGTGCTAAAGAACGCTCGCAAAGCGTGGGGCCGTTGTCTAGCTCCTAGAACTCGTGCCAACCCCCCGTAGTCTAGCTCGCGACCGTTGTAGAGTGACTCTCCGCAGTTCTCACAGTGTAGACAGATGCAGCAGTAGGCTGAAGGAGGATGGTATCGAGCCAGACAGTTGATTGAACGAGAGGTTTTTGTGAGAGGGTGTGACGTCACACAGGACAAGGTTTTTATTCGGCGAATCGTCCATTCACGAGCATGGATAAGGAAGAGTGGAAGCAGGCAATGCAGGCAAGGGGAGGAGACACAGAGGTGGCAAGTTAAACAACAAATATGGAGTGGAGGAAAGACAAGTGATTCAAAAAACGGTACCCACGCTACGCCACATAACAATCTCAGTAGTTGTGTTGTGTTGTGTGAGAGGAACGAGGTGACGAGAGGGATAACCAACAAAAGAGGTTGTTCACTATAGAGCGAGCAGTACAAATAGGCAAGAATCAAGAAAGGTGCACCACCAAACTGGAAATTGTTATGACTACAGTAACCAATCCTACAGGCTGTTATATATAGAAAATATATAAACTTATATTTTCTGACACGCCCCCATAACTGCCTGTAGGAGAGGAATATGTAGTTAACGCCCCCTGAAGGGGTACACCAAGAGTGCGCAGCGGAAATTGCAGCAGCAAGCAAGTGCAGTGGCAACCGGTGCAGTGGTGGCAGGTTCAGCTGTAGCAAACCCTGAGCCAAGACAGAAGAAGTAGCAGAAGTAGGGGCGGCAGGGCGCCTGAGGAGCAGGCTCTGTGGCTGCAACGTGCAGCAGGACAGCAGCGGCTCGATGGCAGCACCTGCAGGCCCCAGCAGCAGGCAACAGAAGCAAGGGCAGGTGGCGGCAGGGGCGGCAGCTGGAGGTGCCACGGCAGCAGCGGGACGGCAGCAACAGATGCCCGGCTGAATTCCGCCACCCTCTCTCACCCCACCCCACCCCCCCCCCCCCCCCCCCCACAGCTGCTCGCGCAGCAGTGAGAGAGAGAGGAGGAAGGGCGGCTGTTGGCTCGACAGAATCTCTCTCGCCACCCCCTCACACTCCCCCCCTTTCCCCATAGCGACAGGAGCTGCAGGGAGAGAGAGGAGAGAGGAGGGCGGCGGCTGGTTCCTGCATGTACACTCCCGCCACCCCTGCACCCTCCCTCCCACAGCGACAGTCGCGCATGGGGCGATAAAGGGCGACGGCAGGTGCTGCTGGCGTCTCACAGCGGCCACCCCATCACGCCACCTCCCCCAATGTCCGCCACCGCCGCCACCTTCCCTCCACTGCCCGCCACCCTCACGACATCCCCTCACAGCAGGAGCGCTCGCGGCAGCTGCAGCGGGGCCGGTGGGAGGGAGGGCGGGGACAGTTGCACGGGCGCGACGGGCGGGACAGGGGGCCGGAACGGAGGTGCGACGAAAGGGCAACGGGGCAGCGTGGCCGCAAGCGACGGGCGGAGCCAGTGCGACGGCCGCCTAGCTCGTCGCCACGACAGCCTCGCCCTTTGTCGCGACTGTGGCGACGTTTACAGCGACAAGCGCGCGACGGGTAGGGCGAATGAGCGGGACGACGCAGGCCGCAACGAAGAGTGCCATTACGAAAAAGAAACCACATGCTAGGATCGAAGCATGCTCTGTACCATGTTGAAATAGGAGATTAAGTCTAGGAACATTGAGCTAGGTTTAGGTGAGAGGAACGAGGTGACGAGAGGGATAACCAACAAAAGAGGTTGTTCACTATAGAGCGAGCAGTACAAATGGGCAAGAATCAAGAAAGGTGCACCACCAAACTGGAAATTGTTATAACTACAGTAACCAATCCTACAGGCTGTTATATATAGAAAATATATAAAGTTATAATTTCTTACATTGTGTTGTGCCTCACATGTTCCTGATGTTACGTAAGCTGACAAAGAAATTTGGGACTATTCCTGAGAACGCATTGCTTGACAGGTTTCTGCACAGCCAAGTGGAAGAGAGGGGTGACGTATAGAGGAAGGGGGATGAGAGACGGGTATACAGGGGACCTAGGTACTGCACGAAAGCCCCCATGCAGACATGCTGTGCATGAACGAGACTGCGTGACATATACAACACTGCATGATGGAGAAGAGAGGATTATGCCATACATACTGGGTCTTGCAACAAACAAGGGTGACGAGGAACTCAAACGATGTAAACTGGACAGGCGCGTGCTGTGTAACTGTACTTTACGCACATGAGTGTGAGGCGAGTGAGTAGTGACAAAACGGATGGAATGGTTCCAGACAGGCCTTGGTTTGATAAGTCACTGCAGAATCAGCGGGAGGAGTGGATAAAGTTGAAGTGAGGAGAAAATTATGAAGATGAAAAGAGGAGGAAAGAATGCGGAGGGACGAAGAGGAGGGAGGGTACATGCACACGTGATATCTTTAAGGTTCCAAGAGGGATAGTGTGTGGCCAAGGGGTGAGAGAAAGGTCCGAGGACAAGCAAGGAAAATGGAGGACAGACTGGATGAGGCAAGAGGTGGCTCAGGCTTCCACAAGGAAGTAGTTGTGGAAAAATGGTTGCACATCCCATGTTAACCATGTGCATAACATTATGTATAGCACATCCGAAACTCGCACAATAGCAAAAAGCACATTCCACTCACAGGCTGACGAGAATTTTCAAAAACGACAAATACATCTGCTCCACTCACAGACTTGTGATAAACTTTTCGGAATCATAAGAGACAAAACGGAAGAGGGAGGCTGGGGTTTCTGACTGCCACAGTCCACTAGGACTTGAGCCCCACAACGCCAAGAAGGCTTCCAGGACTTTAACTGGTAGCATCACATGTTTGGGCAGGAAGAACGAGTTGATATGAACATTGACTTGGGAGGGAAGCAAACCTTTGGGAAAAAATCATTTATAGTAAGGTGCACAGAATCACAGATACATAGTGAGTCCATCCATGCATACATAATCATGTTTCGTTCTTATTCTCTGCATGAGGCAAGTGTTATGATAACAAGATGTCAATCTCCCTTCACCCAACGCGAGTACGCACCCTGTGAGCTCTCCAGCACAGAAACACAGGACATCTCGGAAGGCCGCTTTTGAGAATTCTCAAAAGGAACGTATCCGTCAAAGCACTGACACTGCATCTGGCCGTCGCCCCACCATACACCCCACCCTTCGCCATAGCAGTAGCCATGGCCGCCACAGGGGGGCACAGATGCACCAATCATTCCACAGAAGTCAGGACACGCTGCAAGGTGCTCGTCCTCCTGCAGGCACAGAACATCGTCCGGGGCGAAGCAGGTGCTCTGCACGTCCACAGTGGCCCTCGCGCAGATCTTCCCCGCAATGATCCCAGACGAAATGTAGTTGTTGCGTAGTGAGCTGGGTGGATGGAGCGAAGGGAGAAGTGATGTGCGAGAGATGGAGAGAAGTGGGATGGACACTCGCAAGCAACACATGGGT